CTATATATTGTATATTGTGTGCATTGAAGTTAAATAAAAAAAAAGCATATTATAAATAAGGAGTATGTGGAAACTTGTCCCTATGTATTCAAATTAATAATTGAGTTGTTGTTTCATAAATTTTGTTTAAAATTATGTTTTAGGCATATCCTAAATATGTTTTCGAGTACAAAGTAGAGGATCCACATACTGGTGATAACAAATACCAACGTGAATCACGTGATGGTGATGTTGTAAAAGGTGTGTACAGTCTGCATGAAGCCGATGGATCTATTCGTACTGTTGAATATGGTTCTGACAAAAAAACTGGGTAAGTATAATATTATATGGTATATAGTTATTATTTCTGAGTATGAGTATTACCTGAATGTCAAAAGTTTAGGTTTTTCATGGAACATATCCTTGTGAGAACTCCGTCTTGATTCACGGAAGTCATTTTAAATTGATTTAGTAAAATGGCATATTCTTGCAGTAGCAATATTATTAAACTTTATTTAAGTTACCGTACATAATAGATATACTTATGAATATTAAAAAAAATAATTGAAATTACGTAATTTTTCATAAAAATATACAATCAATATAAGCATAAATATGAATAGTATTTTTTTATTTTAATTACATTGTTCATCGTAAATAATACATATATGCAATTTAGAAATTGTCAGTCTAATGTAAAAACATTTACTTCTAATCCCGAATTAGAGCCTTTGACCTTTCACAATTTTATGTTACTGTAAATGCACATTAGTCTTCTTATGATAGTGTAGACCGAAGTAACGGGTATTATAGAAATCTAGAAAATGTCTAACTTAATGTTAAAATTTAGAATGAAGTCTTGTTCTAATTTATAGTTATAAATGTGGAAGCTCAGATACTGCAAATCACAGTTCTCTCTAATTGTTTATTTTTGTGATAAATAACATTTCGACATAGTCAAAAGAGGTTAACCCTCTAATTTGGGTTATATTAAATCTATAATTTGATATTTTTTATTGAATTTAAATGTACCTCTTCCAATGGAATGTTACACAGTAACATTGTGAATGTTATTTATTATTTGAGCATTATTTATTTATATATTTATAGAATCTTGCTTTTAGTCATATTAAATATAACAAAAATATATATGTTTATACCTTTATTATAGGTTTAACGCTTACGTGAAGAATTCCGGCATTACGAGTCACGCATAATCAGAAAATCATCATTCTCATTGAAGTCATTGTATCATCATTATTTTAACAATTTAGTCATCGACGAGTAACTTTGGTTACTGTTATATTTCGTCACAAAGCACAGAACTACATGTTTAATTTTTGCTGCCTTACACTGCGTTTGTTTGTCCGAGCAATATCTTCTATTTTATTAGCTCGGGTTATGTAGCCACCTTCTTGCTATATCTTGTGGATCCTCAGAACTACATATAGCGATCATTTTAGTTTTTCTGGTAATTCTACTCTTGGTACTTCTATCACAGTGAAATACTGAAAATTTTAACGTAGCTCCTTTGATTAAGTTTTTTATTAATATTTATAAGTTTGTTACCTGTTGTTATATATACAACATATTTAACACTTGTCACTTGTTTTTATACTTACTACGATAGACAATAGAAAATAATTTCAGTTACATCAAAAACGTTTCATTGCAAATTTCTTTCTTTCGGTTCTTTATTGTAAATTGTAGGTGTATATTTTGTATAGTAATAATTTAATTGTTAACGTTACTAATATTTTTAAAACCGTTGCCATTTGAATTTCTTATTATATTGTGTTGTGATAGTATATATATAAGAATAAGAATTAAATGTATTACTACCGTTTTTTTCATAAAATCAATATAAAATAAGGGTAATTAAAAATAAGCCCTTTTCCACACCAAGCTATATACAAGTAGGCTTAGACCTCCTATATTCCCTTGTCTGTAAAGACTCGTGCACATCGATAAGTAGATAATAACAATTTTTATAATGCCTCATTAGATAATATTGTACAACCACGTTTTCTTAGAATCACGATATTTAGATGGACTAAAGCAATTCGTTTCCGTGATTATACTAGAAAGTTTACTGTCGCTCTAAATACGTGTGTAAAGCTACTAATATGTTGAGAATAATTTGTCTTAAAGACAAAGCTGACACGATTTTATCTGCGAACAATAAGTACGATATATTATATAACACGATATTATGTATTAGTTCTTATTAATTAGTGTATTACTTCACGGAATCTGTTTATTAATAACTCAAGAATACATCGCTAAATATAAGCATCTCATTGTCTTAAATGCTATGAAATATAAGTGGATACTCGGTAAAATTGACATGGTAAAAAATCTGAATCTGAATATTAATATGCTCTTAATATGTTTCCCTTATAATAGGGTCACGTGACAAGGATTGGGCATATGTGATATGCGTCAGAAGACTCCTTATATTATAGTTGAGATTATTTCCCTGGAGCTGACATAGCCCTCATAGACATGCTATGCTCACAAAGCATGACACAACCATAGGGAAGGAAGAATTGATCCACCCCACACAATTGACCACAAGGCCATTGAACTGGCCATTTAACTTGAATCCTGAATTGTTTTTAAGTAGAAGGTGAACGATCAACGAAAATATCTGATCATGGCTGAGATGATACCTCATATTTATTTTTATATGAGCTCTATTTTTATTTCTGGATGAATAGTGTTTTATTTTTGACATGTAATCTAAATGGCTTAGTAAAAATATTATATAAGAATTTTAAGGTTTGTATTACAATACAATTAAAAGACGATAATAGAACACGTATTTATAACATATCAATGGAAGCAACGAATCATTATCAAACAAGCCAGCAGCATCATTATATCACTGTCAGTTTATTTAAACAGTGGGCTAATATTTGAAGATAAATTATATTAAGTTGTTTTATTACATTTTGTAATGTAGGTATATTATTAGATGATGAGAAAATGAAACTAATTCAGGTTTGTAGGCCACTTCCGTAAATTCTATAAAAACAGGTGTAATCTTTTTTTTCAATAGTTATTTGATTAGGTTATTAATTGCCATTCATAACTTACAGTATACATAATTTTTATAAACCGGAGTTTGGTGATCCATTACATTTTATTACTTAATTACATTTTTAATAAATGTTTTATAAAAATTTCGTTATTGTTCCCACATACCCCATGTAGTGACAATATTTTGATTTTAGTATCTCAATAAGAAGTGTTATCTTTAGACACTTAAATTATTGTACTATTTTGACTGGAAATAAATAAAATTAATTACAATTATGTGTTTATTATTTTCTAATGCCAGTTTGATATGCCATTATTGACGGCTTCGGTTGTCTAGCGGTCTAGCACACCGCTTTTCGCCCGATGGTTGCGAGTTCCATTCCTCGCACGGAACAAACATTTGTATTCGTGAGTATGATTGTCTGTATCGATCTAGGAATTTTCTATGTATAATACGTATGTATTTACAAAAAAATATATATCTATGTATTTATATCAGTTGTCTAGAACCCATAACTTAAGCTTTAGCTAGCTTAACTCGTGTCTAGATGGCGCTGTGTGAAATGTCTGGAGATTATTATTATTATTATTATGGTTACTCTTTCACTTATTTATCAAGTTTTCTTGAAACAATTTATTATTGTTATACAATCCTTTCCCAGCAGCGTAAATTAATAATAACAATAAATATTAAAATGAAACAGATGTATTATATTTTATTCACACAAAATTATAAAATGTAATGCTGGCATAATAATGGCATTTATCTTAACATGTTTTTTGCTCATTATTCTTGTGATGAGTCCATTTCCCTAGGGGATTTAAAATTAAAATATGAGTATTCAAAAGTGTTTATATCTAGTTTATTTGAATAAATATTATTTATATTTCTATTATAGATTTTCGTGCTGTTCATTGGTTAGTTGCGTATGTTTTACATTATCCCTTTGTAGTATATTATTTAATATATAATGAAGAAGCACTTGTATAAATTTAAATTTTACAATAACAGCAACTACTGTAGGTTATAAGGACACGAGGTTACTATTACGAAATCTTAATACTAAGGAAGTTGCGAAATAAAAAAACTAAATGTGGTTCATGGTTCCGAAGACCGTTTATGCCTGCACGCTTTTTCTGACAAAAAGTGCGTTTGTGACATTGATGAGGGCGTTTTCTACGATCATGGCACGATAAGTTTGATTACGATTAGACTGTAACGATTATAAATTATATGAAAAAGAAATCTATTCTAGTCAGATAGGAGCAGAAAAAATATAAGACTAAAAGTAGAATTTGGTGAAAACATATTTATTACATTTTATTATAAATGTATATTTTTGTATGTATAACATGTATATACAAAATATATGATAATTACTTTATTATAAACACAAGCATGTTTTATTGTCAAAAAAAAAAAAACTGGCTAATCTGGAGAAAATTGAACCCACGAATACGAAACATTGTGTTTTGACAGAGATTATCTGGAAATATAAAGGCTTAATTTGGTAGTGGATTGCAAACCAATACAATAATAATAAATTCATTTTTTCTAAGATAGTATTATTTGTACACAAAAAGTACAATCGGTTTTTCTAACATAGGTAGTACTATGTAATATTATCTTATCTGTGCTAGTACTAATATAGTATTTATTAAATAAAAAATTGAACATTATAGCAACTATATAAATAAGTACATTTCTTGTTGTCTCGTCCCAGTACGAAAGCTTTTTGGCAATTAAATACTGACATTGATAGATAAAATTCGAAAATACAGATGTAGCTTCTAAATCTAAAGATCAAAGTTCTCATAAAGTGAACTATTTTGGCAGTCCAACAACCTTCACATTGATTACGTAAATTACATCATACAAAGACTCCGCGCAATGGGTTACCGGCATGACGCCCCGAGCGGTAACAAATCGATTCAATACTCTCTCGTAACGTCTCCACTATATATTGGCGTAATAACCTATGCAAATATATCAGTTCCACTGCGGAAGTCATAGTAGAAAGATCAAAATGTTAGCTAGAGTACGTCCGTTCTAAATATACAAATTTTTATTAATAAACATATTTGAAATATTTAAATAAATAAATGGTTTTTACAGATTCTTATTCTTGCTGTTGCTGTAGAAGTTACATTGTGTTTGGAGCACGGCTATCAGCTAAAAACTGCAGTGCAACATGAAGATCAACCTCATCAATCGGAACCACAAGAATACCAGCAGGAATCGCCTCAAGTCAAAGATGTTCACTACCAAGCAGCAATCGAAAGCCACCAACATGGTTACCCATCACAAAGTATCGAGTATCAGTCTGCCGAACAACAAGAACCTCAAGTAAACACCGAACATGCTGCATCAGTTTATAATTATGCTCCGACGCAACAGCATGCAGCATCTCAGCATAGTGCTGAAGCCATTCGTTATGTACCTGTACAGCATGAAAGTCCAGCAGTTCAAATTCCAGAACACAGATTAGAAGTGCAATCATCGCAAGGACATGTACAGCATCAACAAGAAGCTCAGCTGCATCACGTGCCTGTGTACCAGCACGCTAAACACTATTCTCACGATGAGCATGTAGACTATTACGTGAGTTTATTTCCTATGCATGTTAAAATACTTATTCGTACGGATATCCGATTCCAAATTTATTGCAACTTTCCATTTATTTATTCACATTACGTCTTAATCTAATTTAATCACTGTCGTATTATGAATTTTAATAGCTAGTTCAAAAGGGTCCATACTTGTAATTTTGGCAACGTTTTTAGTAGCTAACTGTAATTTTTTTAACGTAATAAGAAGTTGTGAGATGTAACGATGGCCTCGGTGGTCTAGCAGTTTAGCACACCGCTTTATTTCCGAAGATCACAGGTTTGATTCCTCGCACGGTACAAATGATTGTTTGTATCGGTCTGGGTATTTTCTATGTACATATATTGTAAATGTATTTATAAAAAAAAATGTGTCTAGGTATTTATATCACTTGTCTAGTACTATGTCATAACATCAGTTCTGCATAGCTTAGGACTAAAACTAGCGATGGGTGAATCGTCCAGGGTTATTATCATAAAAAAATATTCTGAAACAGTAGTATGCGTATGACTTTCTTTTTGTACATTACTTCAGTAATAAAAAAATTGTTTTAAAATCCTTAACAATTCTAGATCGCCTTTTTAACATAAACTCTGATAAACATATTTTTTCAGGCGCATCCAAAATACCAATATGAGTACAAAGTAGATGACCCTCACACAGGAGATAATAAGTTTCAACAAGAGGTTCGAGATGGTGATGTTGTGAAGGGCGTTTATTCCTTCCTTGAAGCGGACGGATCCATCAGGACTGTGGAATATACTTCCGATAAAGTCAATGGGTAAGAGTCTTGAGAATATATGTTCGTTAAATTTAATAATTAAAAAAACATTTTATTACTAGTGATAAAATGTTTATTAATAGTGCTGTAAAACATAATGTTTATTACATGATTCTTATTTTTACAGATTTAATGCGGTCGTCAAACATACCCCTCCCACACAACATGTGCATATACAACAAAATCATCATCAGTAATATTATATTGTTTGTGAGAGACTGTTAGTTTTGTAAGCATGTTTTTCTACGAGACTTGCCTGAATATTAGACATTTACCTCTAATATTATTTAATATTATTATCGTTACTAGATGTGTAAATAAAGTGTATTTAATTATTAAATTTATTTCATTTATAATATCTGTTTACTTATTATTATTAAATCAATCGTTAAAAGTTTTTCAAAATGAAATAATTGTCTAAATTAATTTATATACCAATTCATGTATTAGATAATTAATTTTAATCCATACAAACCTACTGTAGTAAAGACAACATTAATATGAAGCACTATCAATTTAAAAAAATGAGAATTAGGGAAGTAACTCAACACAAGGATTATGTAGCTGAGTAAAGAAACTCATCCTTTTGAACTCGATTTAGAAGTCAACAAAGTATTGTGCCTGTGGCATATAAAATAACCGGAATTTCGTTTTAATAACATTCGTGTAGCGACAGTGAGTGTGTCGTAACATATTATACCACTAAACGAATACGGATATTAGCGACCTAGATCTCAACCTCATTCATATTTAATCTAGATTGTTCAATTGAATATTACTGAAATTTTGGGAATTGCAGCATTACTTTCACTAAACAACAGTCATTGTGTTTGAGAGAGCGTGTTAAAATTTGACATATTGTCATAATTTGTAGTGGAGGAGCTGTCACGCGAAGGTAATGTAGTGGTAGATGCCAATTCAATTAATAATATACTAGCAAAATCACTTGCATTATTAAGAATAAAATATAATAATATAGTATTGATTCATATGTACATAAGTACTTTTTATTATCTACGTGTTTTCATATTAGGTACCTTATATATCCATCCTCTTAATATTCTACTAAGTCTGAAAATATTTGTTTTGGTATATACTCGAAACTTCTAATTACCCAGATTTTTTTAAAATCAATTATTAGAAATATCTTGACACATATCTGTATTATAAATGCAACGTCGAATTATAGTATATAGAATTTAATAAAAATATTATAAACTGGCGGTTCTCACAATTAACATTAGAAGGAGCAAATAAAAATAAGAACAAATAGGTAAAAACTTAATAATTTATTTAACTAAATACAACAGTCATGTTATCTATATACAAAAACGAAATGTTTAATGATGATGGGTTGGCTGAACGTGCTTGATTTCTGAATGTTTTACGAAGGCATTGAACCTGAAAATAAATCAATCAATGAAATTTACACAGATTATACTGATATACCGATAGGAATATAAAACAACAAGAGAACAGAAAATAACAGAACATAAATATTAAGAGACTAGTCATTATTACCATTTCAAGTCACCATTTCAACTAGTCAATCTATCAACCGTTACTGCATATTCTGTGGAGTCTATCGATTCGATTGTATTTAGTGCGGCATAATTACTACTACAGCCTATAGAGGCCTATACAGGCCTTGAATTAAGCCACAATTCAGGGAGAAAATAGAATTCCAGTATGTCTGGTGTGTAGTGAAATCATATATCCTGCCTCTAATATTGTTTCAGAAGTGCCTATTACCATTGAAAAGACGGAAATAGATACACTATCATATCTATACTAAATAGTTAGGATTTTATAATCATGATTAGTTCATAATATATTAGAGTTAATTTTATTAGCATGGCATCATCATATTTGCAAATTTCAATATTATATGATTATATTTATACACATAATGAAGCGTTTTATGATGTAACGAAATTATTATTTCATTTATAATATATACAATTATTCTATGTCCGCATTAACGCTGCTATCTTCGAGAGTATCTTAAACGCGTGAGAGAAATCTTGACCAGTTAGCCTGGATAAGAATAATAATTAGTAGTGATGTAAGTGTAACACAATATTTAGATGATCACTGTATCGCGGAAGGAAGTCTCAAAATTTGTTTTTGATTTAAACATTAGCTTCAAATAAACATTTCATAAAATATAGTAAACAGAATGTTATCTATCTATCATATATCTACATGAAACACTGTTTTAAACTTTATTGTACGTATGTGTACAAATTTAAACGATTGTTTAGATTTGTGCACATTATATAAACAGGATATTTAATATGATAATATTATTAAAGAGCTCCCGATATTTCGACGCTGCTACAAACGTCTTGTTTTGGTGATCGTAATATCCTTAGTACGGGTTCGAAATGTACAATTATTATTCTGTACGATAGCTTATTGATCAAAGAACATATAACATCATACTATAACCAATAGACCAGTAAAACTTATTCTTTTGAGATCTACCTCTTTCTTATGTTACGTAGACGAAGTTGCTTGGATCTCCTAGTATTATCATAGGAACACATTTAAATTTAAGAAATACGATATTACCATAATATCTAATTATCTTAATAAAAATATATTTACCCTGTGTGTTTATCAGAATCATATTCGACAGTTCGAATAGATCCGTCAGCTTCGTGGAGGCTGTATATACCCTTGACGACGTCACCGTCACGTGACTCACGCTGGTATTTGTTGTCTCCGGTGTGGGGGTCCTCTACTTTGTATTCGAACACGTATTTTGGGTGGGCCTATAAATAGATATAATAAAAACATTTAATTATATGATTCAATTATATGATTGTTATAGGAAATTAGGATATCGTATAGTTAAAAATGAAAAAGTTTTCAATATTACATTTTTTCATGTAATTAGTTAAAAGAAAATATAAATGTATATCCAACTGAACTTATATAGGATATTTTTAGTAAAAAAAGTGAAAAGATATTGGACATCGCAAATAAACAAAAATTATGGGACAGTCTATCTATATTACTATAATCGTAAACATATTTGAGTCTTATAAACTTACAATTATGTTTAATTTTACATTACCATAATTTATTATATACATATATATATTTAATTTTTAATATACCAAATTATGCACTCTTGAAAACTTACATAATAGTCATGATGTTCTTCTTTGTGAACTGGGGCGTGATGAACTGCCACTGGAGCCGCATGGTGGACCTGGACTGGGGCTACGTGAACTTGTTTGGGAGCGGCGTGGTGGACAGCAATAGGAATATGGGCTGGCTGACTTTTATGATGAGGTTGAGGATGGGTGATTTCATGGCGGACAACAGATTTTGATGAGTAAGTGTGGCTGTGATGCTCCTGTGCATACACTCCCACTACAGCGACTACGAAGATGGTGACCTAAAATAGAATTTTATTTATATTTTTCATATAATAATAATAGGTTCTTTATAAGAAAATTAAAAATATTATTAAAATATATCTTGAATCAACAATGGGAAAATCTTTGTGAAAATACCAATTATTAAATGGTTTTTTTTTGTATAAAGACGGAGCAAAAACATGTATGATGACTTGCTTTCTATCTTAAAAATGCAATAAAAGTCGATTACGATATCAAAGCATGTCATATCAGTGTCAAATAAGTAGAAATAATTTACTGTATCAGACTGTTTGTTAAGCCTGGTTTCAGTAGTCCAATAGCCAAGCCTACACTGGTATAAATGATAGAGTAACAATGATTAAAAAAATGTTTAATTAACAACATGCAATTAAGGGCTATCTATTTAATCAATATCAATTCCATTTAAGGGATTGTTTTAATAAATTTTTTAGCATATCAATAGACTACTTACTTTGATAAACATTTTGATATTGTGTTTGTTGTAATGATTTTAATTGAATGATATTATAATTCACACCATACAGTTTTTATACTTAAGATCATAACGGCGTGTGACTTGTTTGGTAAGTACATTACATAGTAACCAAGGGGTGATAAACAAGTTTTACATTTTGTCAACTAATCACTGTTCAGTATCAGTAATAACTGGTTTACCATATTACGTACCCATATATCTAATAAGTTGCAAACAGTTACGAATAACTACCTACTACTTTTTTCCCATCAGGTATGAACACCACTTTAGCCAGACGACTTAGTATAAAATTTTAATAGGAGACTATGTATGTGACCTCCCACTATACGGAAAGTCGTAACCATTACTTATTACTTTAAAGATGCTATAATTATGAAGATGTCGTGACGCCTGAGATACTTATATTGTCTTTCCTGATGACTGAATTATTTAAATAATGCATCTGTAGGTATGATGCTACAGAGGCAAAATTTAAATAATTGTTATACTAATACAGTCACCAGTAAAGACTTTTATTTATTGTCAGAATGCACCATTTATACTGTAGTACAACTTTGCTAGTAAGTTGCTTACCGCAAAAGTAGTGGAGTGATAGAGAAACCTTGGATTTTTTACTGCTTGGGATCTCTTCATCTTCTCAATTCTCTCATCTTTAGGAGATGGATTAACCTCTAAGCAGGTTATGTATATGTATGGTACATTAAGGAGTTGTGGAAGAAAGTTTGAGTTGCTTTAATAAATATAATTTGTCACATAAGTTTCTACAACGAGTAGGCAATACATTAGAATAGAACCTAATGGGTCTTAATAAAAACCAATTATTTTCATGATAAGCTATATTATTTTACATCATTCACCTCAAAACCTTAAATTCTCAACTCCACGACTTTTACATTTCATAAAATATATCACAGAAATAATACAATAAATATAACATTTAGAAAACATATAATACAAAAGTTCTAAAGTAATAATAAGATATAGTTCAAAAGACAATTATTTTATGAAATATAAAATACAGTCCTCTTCAATACAGTTCCTTCAAAATATGATTGATGTAATATATCAACGTTCTCGGTCTCGCCGCATCGGCCGTAAGTGCTGTTTCTCGTTGCTGTATTCCGTCCTCACTTAATATAATTTATTATAATAAATAGGTCTCGTCGTATTTGTACACAATTTATCGTTATATAGGTTGCTAACCTAAAATAGGACCATGCGCAAGCGCGGGGCCAGCAATGACTGGTGAAGCAATAGCAGGATGAGCTGCTGGACCTTGTCTGCTTACTACGGCGTTGAATCTGAAATATATTTTAATTATAATTTATTATACTTGTTAAAGCAATTAGGCATCATCAATAATCAATTATAATATTATCTTGAAAGTTATCACAGTGATAGAATAGAAAAACATTTAAGAATTTCATATGTCATAAATATTCAGTCGCTCTGACAAATTCTTTGGATTCCGCACAGTACAGCGGAACTGATTAGTATTATCTACTCCTATATACCAGTATTTATTATTGTATGTATACCGGTACATAGGATCCCTTTCTATTATAGTAACTACGCAAAAGACAAAACAAATTGTAACTTGTTAGACTTTTACAATTTCTAAGTTTATATAATGTTTCATAATCATTATAAGTAAATTAACCCGTTAATGCCTAATGATGCCCATGCAGTCAATATGTATAAAAGCATTATTTATTATATAAAGTACAAGTTTAATTAAAGATTATACCCATTGTGATCATCCGCGGAATAATTAACTGTTCGTATGGTGCCATCAGCTTCGACCAGCGAGTACTGTCCCTTCACTACGTCACCATCACGAGACTCCCATTGGCTTTTCTGATCACCAGTGTGACCGTCGGCGACACCATAGTTGAAGGTGTAGCGAGGATACGACTAATATGGAAATTAAGTTATATTATTTGTTGTATTTCAGACCCTTATAACTAAATTAAAAATACCTTTTGAATATACTTTTATAATATTTATAACTAGTACATAATTTAACTACATAAAATGGCTTTAGCAATATTTTAGTAGAATATATTTTACATTTTGTCATTAAGTAATATAGACAAAAGAAAAAAACCTGTTTAATATCAGACGATACCTAATTCGTATCCTTACTTCACTTTTTCCAGTAGACTTTGAAATTTCTGAGGCTGTCTTTATACTGTTAAAAATAAAATTAACAACTATTGCATAATAGTTGTTAATTTTATTTTTGATCATATGTTGAGAAAGTTATTTTTTAAATATGCTGTGATACATGCCTGCATATGCAATAATTATACCATAATATACTATCCTTTTTTACATTTTTCATACAGAACATTAAATAACATGAAGATCTATGAAAGCACTTACATAAACTTCAACAGGAGCAGCATGTGCGATGGGTGCTCTCAATACAGGTGCATGCGCAACTATTGCACTACGACCTGCACAGTATGTTTAGTAATTATAACAAAATTATTATAAACATATACAGGGTTAAAATACTTCATAAATTTTGAGGAAAAGTCTTCAAAACCTTTTTTTGTTTTTTAAATGTTGGTTTAAAAGCTTTTTGCTTTTGGCATTAATAAAATCATACATTACATCGATAACGTCTTGATGAAACTTCGTATATTTTTATACAATTACTGGAATATTAATAAATATATATTATGTATAAAATATGTGTGTTACTATTTATTTACCTAAACCAAGCCCTAAAGCAGGTGCAGCGTATGCAGGTGCCCCGTAGGCCGGTACTCCATACCCAGGAGCACCCAAAACTATGCTTTGTGAAGAGATGGCGCCAGGAGGAGCAATGATACCACCACGAGACACACTTATCAGAGCGCACAAAAGGATTACCTTTAAAATAAAATCTTATTAATATTATAAACGCAAAAGTTTGCAAGTATAGATGGATGTTTGTTACACTTTCACACAAAACTAACTACTGAACGGATTTCAATGATGAAACTTTACAGAAGATTTTAGATCAGAATAACATTTAAAATTTCACGCGGGTGAAACGACGGGTACATCTAGTATATAATATTTTATTGCAATATCATATAATGTTATGGATAAGGAGTGTAAACATGTTTTGCTATGATATGAACAGTAAAAAATATATTATTAGAATACCATTATTCTTTATGCATATGCTGTATTGTATTTCCTCATATCTAAAAAAATCATAATAAATTTTAATATATATAAGTATTAAAACTATATAGAAATTATAGACCACATTTGACATTATAGATACTTTTCTTACACTTCATTAGCATAAACTTATCATCATTATTTGATGATGATAATAGACCAGCGTTGAGACTATAATGAATGATTATAATTAATAATTAGTCTTGACTGTGGGTAGCCTACTTGACTAAGATGTTTAAGCTGTTATCAGTGGGTTTAATTATGATTTTTCTTATGTTCGGCACTTGAGATCGTAGTAAACTATTACGTCGCTTCCTAGGATAAGAAAAGAATGGTCACTATTGAACTATCACTACATCAGCATATTATACACAATTGTGTCAATATAGAAATGAACACCATAACACATATAAGTATAATATCTAATTATATAATAATTTTATTTTTATATTATATATTTTCACTAAATATCTAAACTTATTAATGAAAATTCTTGATACATATTTTTACCACATAAATCGTTTTACCTTAACAAACATTTTTGTAAATCGTATCTAGTCCTAACACAGTTTTCACTTCTAGCACTAGGGCTTGTCTGCCGAATCGATAAATAAGTGGCGCTTTTATAGAAGTTGCTATGCCCTATAGGTACAGGCATAGGGTCCCAGCCGCCACAGCACGCGCAGGAAATGTATATGTAGGCACATATTTCTAGTAGGCGTAGTCCGCTGAACTAGATCGCTAGAATAACCTAGATATGCCATTAAAAACTAAACATTCTAGTTTTAGAGAAAATTTGGATTTTAGTGTTATATACACTAAAAATAAATAATGTCGTATCCATAAATCTGTAGCATTATCCAGCCAAAAATGTCGTCATAGTCAAATTAACCAAAAATTTGCATCTGACATAAGTACATTTATTAAATACAAATTGTTGTAGTAGTTCAACAAACAGCAAAAATAAAACCTCCCTTTATAGTATTAATATTTAACTATCAGACACAGTATTATATTAGGTACTGCTGTATATGCAGTGGGACAAGTTATCAAAACTAACGGTTATTTTTCTGACGAATTACCTGATATATGTATATATGCCTACCATATGTATCAAGTACAATTCATAATTATCATAAGAAATAATAAATAATAAAATTAAAAAATACCATAGCTTTGAAACCATTACATTACAGGACTATTAGAACTTTGAATGTTACGAATTGCATTAATACTAATATCCAAGCAGTTTTATCTACCACAGGTGAATAATATTACAAAATAAATTATTGTAAATTTTTATTAATATACGCGATTTAAAATAAAAATATAATAACCGTGAGCGTAGTTATCATTCACTATTACTACCACGGTTTCTACTCCGACTTACATGCACAAGTGCATAATCGTAACAGACCGCCTTCAAACAATTTGTCAATCAAAATTCTGTAATCAATTTGTACCTATTTCTAACTCTGCAGAGGTAGAAACACATCAAACCTATTTAATTTGTGAGATAATCTTAGTAGATTAATCATCTGAGACGGTAGATTATTTGCATATAAAGTATTGTGTTCTTTATTTATTATCGGGTCGTCCGCTGATCCTTTATATGGACCGCTGGGTACGGGCCCCGAGCTTACGCTCTTTACCCGGGCATACTGCTGGGGTATACCACCCCAGCGTCGTTCGTTTACCGGCCGGCCGGAAGCCGGCTGCTTACCAGCAGCCGGCTGAGGGAGTCGTGTAAGAGGACTCTATAAGCCGCTCGCCGAGCCGGCTTTCGGTATTGTGTTCATCAGGACCGACAGTCGAAAATGCCTCCGACTATCCCGTCTGGTGAGCAGTCGTGCAAATATATATAATAATCTAATTCTTACGGAGAATGTCCATACAAAACTATTATAAATTTAATTGTACGAGAGAAATATAACTAATAGAGCCTTTAAACATTTAATATATTCGCATATTGTATGAACAAAATGAAAATATATAGATATTTCATAGTTTACCCGCATAAATTGTGATAATAAGTACCTATGTCACCTATGATATGCTAATTCAGGGTTTGGTTTGTCGGTGTACTAAATAAATGCATATATCCAGCCATTTAAGCGTTATTGAGTAATGGATACTAAGTCCGTGAAAAACTAACATAATTAAAATGTTAATTATGTTATCTAAACTCTTGAAACGAGAAGAAGTGTGACATAGGAGAAAATCATATACAGTAAAATATATTGACAACATTCGGACCAATATTACACTCTTCAGATAGACTATGTTCCCAATTAACGAACGAATCTACAATAAAACTAACTCATTAACGATTTTATCATTAGGCCTGACATAAGCGCCATCTACCGTATTACATAGAAATGAACTTGCGGTTAAAATTGCGACATAGTAACCTACTTTTATGAAATCGGTTAAAAAACCGTCCTGCTTCTCTGCAGTGGTTGTTAATATTATCAAGCCATTTAAGCGATATCCAATCAGTTAATTCGTGTACTAAGTGTACCTGATAAATAAAAAATGTATGGGCCCAAAATAGAATTGTCCATTCTCTTTTAATTTATCAGGTCAAATAATAAATACAAAGAGACATAAAGGGTAATACATAGAATAATTGGATTTAATATTTCTACAGTTAATAATCGATTACAGTACTGTTTGTTTTTATGTGTATAATAAATCTTAAGTTTTAGACATAACCTTATGTTTATTACAAAATTAATGACTAAGTATTATAATTGTTAATACTTTTCTCTACTAAATTTTAAATGAACCCTGCCATGTGTCCCATCATTTGTGAATACCGCATTAAAACCTTTAAGCTATTTCTATATTAATCTATTTCTGAAATTAATATACACAAACGCACAGAGAAATAAATAAACAAACTAAAAAATTCTGGCAGACATTGTTATTTCTTTTAGTACATTGATAGAGTTTTCAAATTTTGTTTTCTCATATATTTTTCATGGACAGACAGCAACTTAATAGTTACCTACATATTTGTTATTTGTATAGATTTAATCAAATTAATATAATGGACGTAACGTGTTGATCAGATGAAATCACTGTGGTAATTACTTTATGACTCATCTGTTCAATGCCAATGAACTGCATTTAGCATTCCACTACAGACTTATATATAGAGTAAACTATACACACCTACATAAAGTAAAAAGTTATATAATGTATGTTACAAAAATCAACCTTAATTTTTTTAAGTATAATATAATAGACAACTCAAGACCTATGCTTCTATATATTAGAATTAGGACCTAATCAAAATAAAAGGTGAAAAGGCATAGCACCTTAGTCCTCATACAATGAATGGCAATACTGTGGGGTACTATAACGAAATGACCGTGTGCTGTTATTGTGCATAGGTGCACAGTTACCTCAGGTTACATCAGGTCAGCTCTTATGTATTTCCATTTACACAAAGAAAGTTTTTCCCTAAATTGTTTTAACTTTGAATATAATTCAGAGTCTCAATCTCAATTGCCACACTACAGAAGTAGCCGATTATAATAATCTACATTAGTGTTGCAACTGACTTCATAAAACAAACTGTGGGTTGTATTCATATAAACAATATAGTGATGAGTTATTTGATCCATTGAATTTTGTAATAACGTATACAACCATTTTATTTGCGTTTCACTTAAATTACAGACCCATAATTATTAGTAACGACTGTATTGTTTAATAATTGGGCTAATTAAATTATCTATAATTTAATAATCAAAGATCAAAAGTTTCATTTATATGATTTGATGGTAATAAACGGTTTTACTTAATAATGGGACGTATTATATAAATATAGTTACTACATTTTTATAATTGAAATGTGAATCTGGTTAAAGTATGTGCGTAATGGGGACAATTGTCGACTCCTCTTTTAAATTTGTTCAAGTGGCTAAACAAAATGGGACTTTACTATTTCTATTTTTAACTTGCAGTTTTTTTTATCTTCAAAGAATCGGCAAATTTTGTTGTAAAGATTTTATTATAATGTCACCTACCTGATATATCAGCATTTAAAGATTCTAATATTTCTTTAGTTGTTAAAATTAACTGTTATAATAGTTGTATATTTTTTATTCTACAAATATTTTTATAGTTATTTTTATAGTTATCATTGGCATACTAGCTGAAAGCGGGTGTGATGGAAATTGGACACCTCAACAGTACCAATAATAATAGATAATGCACTGTGACTCTGATGGATGCTAATACATTGTTTTTCCTTAAAATCAATTAATTATATCAGTATTCAATAATCTCTAGTTCACGTTATCTTACTGCTACTTGTCTTGCGATTTTCATAAATACTCTGCTCATTTTGATCACAGCTGATGCCCTTTTCGATCAAGGGACTATAGAAAATTAAAGAATTAAAGAATTTATTTAAACCAAAAACAAAGTTATAACAATAACATATTAAACATATTAACATATTAAAGGACTTTCAATTCGTTTGTTTCGTTCCTGAGATTAGCAAGTTTAATAAACAAACTATTTAGCGTTATAATGGACGGACATATACACATACTTGTTTTAGAAAGCTAATCGGTGTTAAAATTAATTGTGAAAGAAGCACTGACAAACCTAAATATGATTATGTACTTTTATTTCTGTAAAATCTCTTATTGATAAAGCATTGTTACATATAACACATTTATTTAGGAGAATTACGTCCTTCGTTACATTTGTTATTTGGCCTGTGTTAAAATAGGCATATGTTAAAAACTCCAGATCTAGCATATACGCATGAATGGACCACGACTTGAGAGTATATGTCTGTGTACTCCTTAAATAGCTAGATGTGATTGAAGACTGAACTTTCTGGAACTCTCTGGAACTTTTCGTTGCTTACCAAGCTTGAATAGTGCGTGTCGTATTACCATTACGACAATACGACCATGTCACGGTCGCGCCCACCGGTGAATGTTCATAGTATGCATTCTGATGAATTAAACAATTCACTTATCTTATATTATAAAACATTATTTTGTGGATGATGATGATGGAATTGTGCTCTCGCCTTCGCTAACATTATACGCTAGCCAAGTACTAGTATAGAACAACAGTGAAGTTAAATTTTCGTTAGTTTCCCCATCATCCGTAACAGTAGACGTTTACGAGGCGCTATTGAAGCCTTATAGTATGGCGAATTCACCAGAAATTAACCCTAACCCGGGGAACCGCGAAGTGGTCGAACCGGATTTGACATTGATAGCATCCAGCATTGTCAGCAATGGACCCAAATTTATTTTGTTATTATTATTATAAATCCATTTATATTGCTATGATATACTTGTTATTAGGAAAGTTGAAAGGTATGGAAGTGGTTATTCAATGTAAGATGATGTTATAGCATTTACATTTAGTGTACGTTTTAGCACATGGTACAATTATAGTTTGATTATAACCCCAAAAGAAATGTTTGTGTTAAACACTGTTAAAATACCTCGTTAATTCGTAGAAATTTTAAAAAGCAAAGCAAAATTAAATAATAATCGGTAAGGCCTAAAAATGGCTCAAACGTCCTTGTGTGGTAATACACAGACACTCCTACTTGCACCAGTTTCTGGGCCTTAACACTTTCACTATTATTGTAATATTGTTTCGCAATATTCTTATAGCGTCATAACGCTACATATTTGTCAATAGGCGGTTAATTGCTGTCCATATAACAATTTGTCATTTTATAAATACTTAAGTTCTAATCTAAACAAGGTTGTATATACATAATTATGTGTAAGAAATATACGATTGTTGAATTTAAATGAAAAAATACTTTATTAGGTATAATAATAAATACCGTCGTACTTGTCTTCGTTTGGGTATGCATTTCGCATCTAATAGGTAAGATAGCATTCTGAATGCAACACTTGTCATGTATAGTCCAACGCTGCGTCCTGGATTAATTACTAGTTTGATTTGTTATCGGTTTTTCCATCACCAGTAAATCTTGAAGAATATGGTATTAAGTAATACGCATTAATTTTATTAATATATTTCAAACTGACGCTTGCATGGTAACTTATTTGCATGCTATTATGACTAGAAGTAGATGCAAATATGTAGAGTAGGGACACTTGCAGAAATTAATTTAAAAATTACATTATAAATAGTGACTGAGGAAATAAGGAAACATATTATTTTATATATAGCATTTATTTTAATTACTCTCTTCTTAAATTATTTATATTCTACTTACTTAGCTGCTAGCTATTACATAATTTATAAAAAAAGACATGTATTTCAGGTTTTAAATTTAACAAAAATGTGTATTTATATACATTATCTGTTATTCTCTTAATATGTCAAAAGACTTAACATTGTCTCAGATTTTATTCATCAATTTTGTTTTGCTACAGTCAAGATTTGAAATGTACCCTAATTTGTATTATATACAGTAGTGAAATGCAATTAAATATCAAACATTTCTAAAATATTCACAACTGGTTTTTTCTTCTTTACTATTTTTCGAATTATTTCCTTAGGGGCACTTTGGTCAGCAAATAGTTCAGGTCGTGGTTTTAAACGAGATGGACGAAATTTATCACGGTCATCATCATTATAATATTGGGATGAAAAGTCATCATCTATATCAGGCAAATATTCATTAGGCTCACTAAATCTGGTTGGATTTTTAAGTTTCTTTTTTGGTACTAAAATATAATCGTCAAGGTTATCACTGAAATATTCAGGGGTCTTTAAGGGCTTATGTTTCTTTTTTGGTCGAGTAGGACGTTCTGCTGGGTAGTAACTATCTTGAGAATTCAGTTCCGGTAATGCAGGATAATTATGTTTCATAGATGACACGGACATTTTATCATCATCATATTTAGGACCTTTGATGCCTAATTTATAAGATGGAGCATATTTTTCAAAATCATAAAGAGAATCTGGTTTTCCAAAATCGTCCTTAAATGAATCTGTAAATGATGGGTACTTTTGTTTGGTTAATTCTAAATCAGCGACACTAGTATACATATTGGCGAATTTGTTTTTCTTTTTTGTCTTGCAATTTGCATCGGTGCTATAACCAAAGTGAGATTCACTGGCCGACATTGATTCATCAAAGGGATGTTTGATAGAATAAGTGTGTGTATAATCACTAGATTCTTGATCGGGAATATAGTTCGGCCTTTTTTTCATGGGAGCTTCTCTAAATCTACTTATAGGATGAGGTCCTCGTTTTTTATGTATACTTTCGTAAATATCTTCTTCATCTGCATCTTCTGAGAAATCAAAGTCGTGGTCGTATCCTTTTAAGGTTTTTTCTTCAATAAAACTTTGACTACTTTTTGATTGTGGTACTCCTGGATTATTGACTACTGCTTGAAATCCACTATTTGGTCCAGCTGAATATTCTACAGTTCTCATCGAGCCATCTGGCTCTACCACACTGTAGTGACCTATGAAACAAAATTATTAATTTTAAACAGTTTATGTAAAATTAAATAATTCTGACAAAATACGTGTATGTACCAATAACTAGTGCATTAATAAATCGTTTATTACCTTTATAATAATTGTTTTATTATTCAAAATGGTAAATGCCGTTTCAGTTCATTCATTCAGTTTTAATCAGGCAATTAAAATTTTAAGATATTTAAAATTTATAATTTACAAAGTCTGAGTACCTTTGACAGTGTCACCTTCCTTTTTTTCCCATACTGCCTTTATATCTCCAGTTCGAGAATCGGATACGCCGTAGCTGAACGAATAGCTTGGATTTTCCTGCAAAAACAGTACATAAATGAATTAACTCCAATTATCTACGCTCATAATTATACTACTGTATATTAAAGTGAGCAAAGCACTTTATGCAGTGTTCGATGCGATAGTTCGCGTGAATTTATTCGGTATATTACACGTAATGACAATCCATCGCATGTCTGCATATGAAGTTAATATTCTGAATATAAAATAGGTGTATTAAATCGTTTCCATAACACTGGAATGTCCAGTAATTAGAGTTTTATAAAGTGAATGTGTGAATATGTATTCGTCAGTGTAGTAACCACTTTGGGTACATTTATCATTAATCAATTTAACTGGTTATTGCTAAAACGAAGCGTACAGGTTAAAAAAAATAAAATGTATATTACGATAGTTTTTGAGACAAGTGATATGTTGCTTACAGATACGTACTGAGATATTTTACTCTAGGTGGACCTTGTATTTAACCTGAATGAAATACGATTAAATACTCTATGATAATTCAGAATAATTCGTCGGTGTATCCAATTTCCTTCTAACAAACATGCATATGTTATTATAGTGATATATTTGTACGATATCTTTTTTTTTAAGTTCTCCAACGAACAAAAGAGAATTTTTAACTTTCTCGTATAACGAATTCCGAAGCACCAAGAATAAAAAATAAACTGTTTTAAATAAAGTCCTTAAAATAAGCATTTAAAAAGATAAAATCAATTTATATATATTAAAATTGTTTATAAACATCTACGTAAATTGTATTTCACGATTATCAAGTTCATGATGCGTCGCCACGTGCGCGGGCGCATCGTACCGCATTAATTCAATGTCAAAGACGATAATGACGCTCGCTTTCGTTCGTTACCTTCACTTTCAACAGTGACTAACTGTTGTTGTTGTGATTTGTAGGCACGAATGACTTTGCTATGCAGGACTAATTACGATTGGACTGTTGTTATGTATTTTTTTATCACTGAAGAAGAGACGAGGCAATGATGAATGGGACGGTAAATCTGCCCGAGCTAACAGTACATTCTACAGGGTGCATCAGTCAAAGATGATAGGATAACTAGGAAATCGATTTCGAATAATTTATCATAATAGTTTCCAGGAAAACATGCGGAGATCAAACTCACATGGTATCTGATATGTTAGTAATAGGGTCTTTCCTCTGTTAAATAGTATAGATTACTGTTTAACGAATTTAATGTCTTTAAGTAGGTTTGAATATATGTATGCTATTAAATTAATATCTACCAATATCATTAACATTGATATTCTTATGGAATAATAAAATCAGCCTCGATTTTAGGTTTAAATACTTTTTAGAGATATTCAATTCAAGTCAAACCAATCATAGTTTTCAAATAAATATATTACATATATTTCTGCTATTCCAATCGATCTATTCGATTCCTCCTTATTAATTTCTAATTTCTGACTGATATTCTCATACGATATACTAAACATATTACTTCATTCTTGTTGTATTCGAAGAAGTCAATTTTGTTATTAATTCAAGATGTTTGATGCGGAATTTCTATTGGAGATATTTTTCTTTTGCACCAGTGTATTTGTATTTTTATTTCCCTAATTTCTTTCTTTCGTCTTTAACAATAATTAGATATTTCTTTGGGGAATATACATATATATAAGATACGGTAAATATTTGAATATTATAGAAAATCTATAACAAATTACTACAAATGAAGTTGAGTTGCCATAGATAAGTGGGTGAATACGGCTCGCCCACTATATAGAACATTTCGACATTCAGGTGACCACTTTCGATAAGTATATATGTACGATACGTCTATTTCGACAGTTCTATATTGTGTAAATATAATTTTAATTAATTATATGTATAATGAACTTTACGTAATCTTATTATTACTGAAATTGTGATATTATCATGCTCTGGATGGAGATATTCTTGGGATAAAATAATGTGGCTCCATTTTTAGGATGTTAAGAGGCAATAGAGCAAAAGTAAGTAAATAAGGAGATAACGCTTTATTATTACAGAAGGAAAATGAAAAATAATTTTATACCATATTGTGGGTGACAGAATGAATGAACTGCGCAATATTAATCAAACAATGGATAGAAAATTGTAAATACTTATAATGAAGGCACAAAGGCAAAAGCGACAATTCTAGAAACTGTAAAGAAATATATTAGAAATTGGTACAAAATTAAATATAAAAGTGTGCAAAGAATTTACAACATACTTATAAGTAGGACAAATCTGTAATGTAAATATATAAAACCTTCAACATGAACACATTTTACAAAGCTATTTGCTTTACTGTAGACTCATGCAGAGGACTATCTTTATCGGCTTTTAGAAGGAAATATATACTTTTTAAAAATTATATAAAACCTAAAGTATGTATAAATATAGTAAATAAACAAGGTTACTTGTTTCAATTATGAATCTAGAGTAACTAAAAAATGTGTGAAATGCAATACTGCAAATTAGATGTTACTATGTTAGTAAGATTTATATGACAATTATGTAATGTTGTAAATACAAACAGGAAATCCGTATTAATTATTACAATTAATATTTACATATCATCATTTCGTAATCTTCAACTTGGAGAGCAAATGCAATTGCAACAGAATATGAAATCTGTAATATTCATTCAATTTATTTATGTTGAAACTAGTTGATGGGTCACGTGATGAAAATCGGTATCCTTCGACTACAATATATATATATATATATTATTGGATGCGATACATCGGAAGAAGATAACGACCCTATTAGGCATAGTGCGAGTAAGTTCCAACAGTGTCCTGAAGGCAATTACCTGTAAAATAAACTGTCCTATTTTAAGATATTGGGTGGGACAGGTAATATATTAAGGGATATATTTTTTTATTACTAACATTGGAAAAAAGTTATGTTATTAAGTTGTTATTAATAAAATGGACTATGTTGTCTGACAATAAATCATTATTGTAATATGTATACAACATAAGTTATAATGTGACTTAAATTAATTAAAGTAATACGAGAAAATCTTTTAAATGAAGTTACAAAGTTTTGTAGAAGAATGGTTTGCTTTTTAATGAAAACATTTAATTATTAGATATAGTGATATTGGGGTAGCTATTAAAAATTAAACATTCAGTGATCTGAGTAATTATTATCGTGTCGCCACTGCGTAATGACGTATTTGTGACACATTGCGTGTCTATTGAATAGTGAAATTCACACGAAATATTTGTTTTATTTTTCCTTCTATTTATTATTGGTTTCAAAATCATATTATAAATATATGCTTGTATTTTAAAGGGCTAAGGCTTGTATTATATTTTTGGATTAAACGTCGATATTCTGTATTGAATGGAGAACCTGTTAGTATTCAAGATTTAAGTAAAATTATGATAACTATCTGCATACGCTGTCACTACTTGTCATCAATTGATGACTAAAGTAGGAAAACATGGCTATAATCAAGAATAGTAAATATCAGTAAAATAAACCAATTCAAGAAAAGAAAACTCGAAATACCCTATACCAAATCTTTTGGCCAATGCACTCTGGGTAAACGGTCATACTAAATAGCAGGCTGAACTTCTTTCTATACCAGAAAACACATATGCCCTGAAAATTAATCAGTGGTGAGCTAATTGATTATTAAAAAGATATACGTATGATTATTTTATACTTCAAGAAAAATATTACAGATTATGCTGTGGTATAGAGAATACTTACAGTATTAGAAGAATCATGCTTCAATTCTTGTTCCAGTTGTATAACCTCCTCTTGACAATTCAACACCACCAGATTTGCCAAGAGAACCTAAAATAGAGGACTTCATTACAAGATAATAGTTGTAGTATTTGAAGCTTTTTATTTATTAATATACTTAATTATGTAAATAAATTCTTTAGATCTTTAATTTTATTTATTTGTAACATATAATATAAATATATAAATATCTATATAAAAATATATTAATAATGGTAAAAATAAGTAAATTAACAAGATATTTATTACACAGTAATTATTATTTCTTTGCACAGTCAATGAAATCAAATTTATATGTAATATACTGTTCATCCATAAATTAATTATAACTCAATTATTAAAATAATAATACAATATAAAGTAAAAACACACACAGCACTAAATGTTTATAATTGTAAAGTAATATCTTAAAAACTAGTAAAACATATTATTATAATATTATCACAAATTGAATTCGTAAATTTACTTACAAGTAAAGCAAATGTTTTCACCATCGTGTTCTCAAAACAGCGTGCTTCACCAATTGCACCATATGAAAGATCACCAACACTAAACTTTGAACTCGAATGAATATATCTAATATCCAGGCAATAATAAAGACCTATCCATTTCCAAGGTCTAGGTGAAGAAGACGTTCCCCGATGCCACCACTTAGCTATTTATAAACACACACAATAGCACCGTGTATTGTCCGTACACTCTCCCCCTCACACATCTTTAGTGACAATCATTCAACAAAGATCCACTGGCCGTTGCGTTGTAAATTAACTAGATTATCTTTTCTATTGTAAGATAGTGGAAAATGCGGAAGATCTCGCAAAGAATGAAGCAGTCCGTTCAATTACTATGTATCTGTATATTGTTCCTATAAGGAAGATGAGAGACTACGAGTTTTTCTTTTAATTGGTGTCCATAAATTTGAGTCCGTAAACCGTAACGTATTTTTATTATTATATAACTATGGTGGGTATTTATGTTGGCTCACTAGCAGATACGTTGATATACGTGAGTGCGATTCGAGTACAACTGTTGCTAGTACTAATTTTGTAAATTATTTTTTAATGAAATAATCTACCGCTTGTGCATCAGGACCATAGTTATATATCAGGATCATTCAAGATTCGCAATATAATCGTATTCAATACATATATAGGCTACATTATTTTTCATTGGTTGGATGTTCGGTTTGTTGGCCATTACATATGCATAAAAAACTAATATTAACTGCATACTTTGAAATTGATAGGCAGGAAACTGTATTCGGTTTTGTGTGCCTCTTTTACTTTCTATCGAATAATTATAGCTATTAATCAATAACAATGCATAATAATAATATGTAACTGTGCAATTCCTTACAATACTATTATTTTTAATGATAAATATTAATTATAATTCACTATTAAATATTAACTTTCAAACTTATGATACAGTATTTTAAATAACAACTAATGATTAGAAACAGTTTTTGGTAAGTGAAATAAAGGTATCCTTCTAAAAAGAATTTGATACAGTAGACTATCACAATACTAACCAGGGTTTCCTTGTATAGTAGCAATAGTGGGATATTATTAGTAGATTGTAGTCTATATGAGTTAAGCAAACAGAAAGGAGCTCATAGGGAATTACATATTTAAATAACATTCCAAAAGTTTATATTGGTGGTTTCGACAGTTATATGATAAAGATCATACTTATACCTATCATTAGATAGGTATGTTCTGTTTGACAACACATATTAATATATGCTGTCATTGTATGATGAAGCAAACAAAATATTTTATTTCATGTACCCAATATTCTTCTGTCTTCGTATAAATACACTAAATCATAATATACAGTCGGTCAACTGAAGCGAAACACACTCCGACGATTACCCTGTAATAATAATTAATATATCTGGCACTTTTTATATAGGTACGAACGATCAGTGGCATTTCATGCTTGAGTTGTTTATGTGACGATGATGAATTTTACTAGAACTAATTATGTGACTTTCTTTCTTGGATTTAAAACGATGGTCATAATAAATCAATTGGAAATAGAGTAGCAGATTATTAGTGATGTAAACCAGCGCCGTTATTGCTAGAAATGTAGGTACTATGTTAGCTCGATCTCCACGTGGTCCTTCCTGACCTGACCTCGTCTTATCATCCTGTTATGTGGCTTACATATACATACTTACCACTAAAGCATGCGGGTGCAAAATTTCATCATCATCCATAAAAAAAAGTCAAACCAAAACGTTTGAAGAACAAACGTTTTGGTTTGACTTTTTTTTACGGGTAGGCAGCTCTATGTATAGTATCAAAAAGGTTAAATTAAAAAAAATATTTTCCCATGATCTTTCATTAATTTTATAAAAAAATATAATGTTAATATATGTAAATAATAATATATACATCCTACAGTTTGTACCTAAGCTGGTTCTAGCCAAGAAGAGATTTGGTTGGAAATATCCGAAATAAAACAATTGTTTCGAAAATAATATTTATTATACTGATATAAAAACAACTACGAACTATCGTATTGTCGAAATTCTTATAACCTATTAATATCTTAATAACTCCATACTTTTCACAGAAGTTTATAATAAATATTATATTAACTGTTTAAGTATATTATTATCACAGTACAACATTAAACCTGTTCTAATAAAGGTACCTGTGGGGTATAAAGTAGTTTAAATTATTTCAAATGTAGTGCCATCTAGCGGGATCATGCGGCAACTTTTCATTGGTGTAAAACGCGACATCTAGTGGTAACCGTGATAACTATCATAATTGTTGTAGACTTGCGGGTGGTGTGCGTGACCGATGCGTTTTACGACTGCGTTGAATCCATTGTGCTTGTCAGCGGTATACTCGACGATGCGGGTGGTACCATCAGGTTCCGCAAGTGAGTATGATCCTTAAAATATGCATAATATTTAACAAAATGTACGTATGTTTATCTTTATATATTGTAAAATGAAGTCGCTTCCGCTGTTAGCTCGAGGATCTTTTAAATTACTCAAATGATTTTAATGCAGCTTTTAGCAATGGATAAAGTTATTCAAGAGGAAGGTTTATTTGTATAATACATGTACACCCATGCGAAGTTGGGGCGGATAACTAGTTTTAATTAACCTCTGTAGATCTAAAATAAGTATGATTCATATAATGTATTCTTACTAATATGAATGTTTTATATTAATTACTAAACCATATTAAAAGCCTAATGGCTTGACGAATGATGATGGCAGTGGAGGATCTGTCATCCTTCACTAGTGTCTTGAACCCTGAATTATTAAATTTTATGAGCATACCTTTTACGACGTCACCGTCTCTGGTCTCCCATTGGCTTTTAAAGTCACCAGTGTGCGGATCCTTTACAGAGTAATCGAATGCATATTTTGGATGTGACTGAAATGAAATATGTGTATTATTGCATATATTAAAATGAGTTGAATTTTTTCAATCACTTCAATAACATTCAATATGGAGACTTATTAAATACAAAAAAATATAGTTAATTAAATAAATAATACATAGCTATATTCTAAATACATAGTTCTGCTCACAAGCCTACTAATTCATAATTACATTACCATAATCATACATATAATAAATAAAATTATAGCTACTCGTTGACTAAATTCCATACTAAGACAGAAATTTTTTACAACTAAAATGTATCCATTATTAAATTATAGGTTCTATATTGATTAAATGAATATTGCCAACGCTTAATAGTGTTGTCATCATTAATTAAATAACACTTGGACTGTTGTAACAAAATAACAAAGTGTATTAGCTGTATTGTAATCAAATAACAAGTTTCAATGTAACGCAATAACGCTTCTTATAAAAGACATCAACGCGCAAAAGTTTAATAAAAATATTTCTGAAAGGTACAGCCTTTCAGAAATATTTTTATTAAACTTTTTGCTAGAATCAATAGAACAGGCGAATAGATGACAATAAAAAGTAGATTGAGTAGATTGCTTGCTTGTTTCTTGACAAATTGCGGTATTTTATCTTATTGTATTATCGAAATTTCTTGATTTATTATTACAGAAAGTCAGTCAGACAAATCCATTACAACACATATATATATATATATATATATATATATATATATATATATATATATATATATATATATAAAACGTTATTAATTAGTTCCATTACTTGACTATTTTTAATAAATTTAAATAAAGTGCGCAATATATATGTTTACTTTTACAATATTTTTAATTATTTACGAAATAAAACATAGTTTACGTCGATAATATATATAATACGAAAGTTATTTTAAGATGGGTATAGTTATTCTTTCTAGCAGATCAACTAATGTAAATGAATAATACATAATTTTAACGTAAATGACATCTATTTACAGTTTTTGATTTTGATTGTAATTTAATACATGTTGATTGATCTCTTAAAATAATTAATGTTGATTTTATAGGTATATAACTATAGTATAATAATTAATAAAGTCATATTGATCATTATTAATAGTATGAATTTTATTTGTAATTCCACAATTTCTCTATCCTCCCCTTCGAGAGTCATTTAATTTCATCTAATCGGGAGTGACCAGTAAAAAATAAACATAATACATTAATAACCTCAATTTCCGTTGCATTGTTTGCCAGGCATGCAGTTGTACTTAGCTGTTCTTTCGGCCGTATTATTTTCCATAACACCATGATTGACAATATCCGAAATCTGAAGGACGTGTATGCTATACCAACAATGTACATACAACACTTGCGCAACTCTGGGACGTTACGGTGTCCAAACACAGATTGTTATGTTCTATGCCTTCCGATATTGTAATATTCCTACATATTATGACGGAAGGTATAAGTAGTTATTGAATATTGCGTCCCATTTTGTGGTGAGATTATTTTTCTTTGCTATTTTTTAAACCCGTAATCAATGTCTATATATTTGGAAATCATAAGATTATTTGACAAAACTGGGCAATCAATAGGTTCTAATGCTCTAGAGTATAAAATGGACTGATATATAACCCTTTCAACACCTTTTATATTTGAAATAGAGTTTACTAAAAGCCTCGTTATACTAGTGATGTAATAATAAAATCTAATAAACATTGCATTAGAATACATTTTTACTTTATTTACTCACAAAGTACTTAAGTTATGAATTTTACTGAATCAAAAAGTTTATATGATAATAAAGTAGTAGTTTATCATGTATATCTATCTATTTAAGAAGAACATAATTATATACCTAATTTATAGTAAATAAAACGTAATAAAATACCTCTGGATCACTGCTTATTATATCGCTACCAGAGTGGATCGTATGAAGAGAGGCACAGTACGGTGGTATTAGCCATGTTCGGGTTGTTTATTATTTGCATTTGTACATAATCGTAATTTTGAGGGCATTTTATATTTCGTGCAATGAATTGTTTTTGGTATATCTTAGATTACTATATTCGTCTAAATGTGTGTAAGTTATTAAAATGAAAATTTCTAAGAGCAAATAACATAACAACAACTTGTTGTTATCCCATATAAACAAAATATAAATTATAAAATACTAACATAGTAGTCGGAGTGTCCGTTATATCCGCCATTTCCTGCATCATATCCTGCGTATCCACCATAACCCGAATAGCCTATGTAGCCGGCACTCACGGCGGCGCAAACGGCTGCCAATATAATAAGCTGAAAATATATTATAAATATTTACCATATAGTGCATAGTATACATTTATTTAATTGACTTTGGTGATTTAACTACACAACACAGTATTTTACTTCCAAAGGTTGCGGGTTCGATTTCTCGCATAGTACATAGTACATATTAACTTTCATTCAAAAGTTTGATTGCTTGTCTGGGTCTTATTTTTGTATTTTTTTGTAAATACATACACAATTTATTTACAAAAAAATATAATTAATGTATTTATATCAGTTATATAGCACCCATAACTAATCCAGAAATATTATTATATTATATTATTTATGTATAAAAATTCTTCTATACTAATTTAGATGATATTTTGTGTGTATATTTCAATGTGTTTCTGAATGGTTTGAAGACACAATAGGAGCAGGTAGGTAATGCTGCTTTTTCCGGAGAACGTGCTAATAAATTCGTTAGTTTAATATATGTATAATATTAGATTTGCTTCCATCATTCAATTGTCGTAAGTCGAATCTAGCCATAGAGTTATGTACGGCGGGTGGGTCGCCACATATAATTCAGATATATCAAGGTACACATATTAAGTGTTACCATTATGTCGATAGTTATCCATCCATCTTACTACTTCATCTGCAGTATCAATTCTGAATATATATTATATTTTTAATATTGGAACAATGAGATTACAAGAAACAATGAAGTAAGTATACTTTGGTACAATGTATTTCCTACTCAACGACTTTTCCTATACTATAGAAAAAGTATGATCAGCAGGAAACGTTCACGAGAATCTTAATTTGTGAAATTGTTAATTTACGGTTTAATATTATAGCCACAGAGAGTATCATAGCTTAGGGCTACAGTACTCCTTAGACCGAAAAGTCGTGATTTCAAGTCTGGTCGATACATAAATAATATTGTGTATTTAATTGAACCTAAAACTAAAAACCGTATATAATCATTCAATGATCATTATTACATAGTATAAAATAAAGTTGCTGTTGCTGTCTGTCCCTGTGTATGCTTAAATCTTTAAAACAATGCTACGGATTTTGAAGCGGTTTCTTTTTTAATTGATAGAGTGATTCAAGACGATGGTTTGTATATATAACACATGCACACCGAGTACACCAAGCGAGTAGCTAGTATAATATAATAATTAAAATATATTATATTATAATAATGAAAAGAGTCCCTTTAGGCAAGGCTCTGAAGACACTGGCAGTGTGTATTAATTTAGACTTTTGGCTAACTCTCCGGTGATAGAAACATTGATATCAAACAGAAATAATTCGAAAGACGCGGTAGTCCAAGAAATGTAGGCATGTTAAGTGTAGCCTCGGGATTGTATGGTTGCCGCTAGTTATTTATCAATGTATATTCATTTAATAATATAATTAATTAAATATCGTTTACTTTAGTTTTATAAATATTATATGTCGTAAAATTAAGGCCCAATTAGACTTAGAAAATGTTCAGTTATAGTAAAATAGTACTTCTATGAGAATAAAAAAATATCTTAGAAAATGGAAAGAAATGTTAAGACAAACGTAATATGAAAAGCAATATGATAAAATATTTTTTATATAAAATTTTGCACCTACAACTGTAAACTCATTTACTTTGCTAACGGTACAGTGTTTTGTGATATTTTCAATGATATGAACCGGTACAAATCGGAAAAACTTTCTGCGTAATGATACAGACATTTCTCTCTGTTACACGGTAATAGTGCAAAAAGTAACCCTATACTGCCATTGAAGTAACATACATAAACAGAGGTATAACACTAAGTACTAGCTCTTAGACATAAACTATCTCGACTAAATTCATATCGAGTTCGATAGATATAATAAAAAAGAGGTTTAGGTTTAAGTACCTTTTAAATTAAGTAGAATACAATAGAAAGTATCTTTTATTTAAATAAATATAGATAAATAATGCAGAACACTCGTATGCACTTTAAGAAATATTAAAATAAATAAATGTATTACAAAAATTACGGAATTATAATTTGAATTACACATATGTATAGTGTTTAATGTGCTTTATTTTCAAGAACTTTAAATTTAGAAATAAATTTAAAGTTGTTTAAAATGTTTTGAATGGATATTTCAAATAATCTTTTTGAAATATCCATTTAAAACACAACCACATGTTGAAGTAATACAAAAACCTGTTATATAATATCAATTGGAAATTCTAACGGTTTTCAACATACTTTTCTATTTTCCAACAAGTCAATGTTAATTTTGTCGTTTCCATAACGATTATGTATGTGCTTACTTGGTTTTCACACATCGGATAAATGATATAATAAGTACTAAGTATGTGAGAAATAGAAGTCATTATTTGTATTATTTAGTAAAATTTTAGACCAGGGTTTTCTATATTACCTGATTATAGCTTTTTGAAGCGGTAAGAAAATTTATAGATTCATAGAAAGATTTTTATTATAATTTAAATTTGATGGCAGAACTTGGGATTCTATTGGGAGATTTTAATATTTATTTTAGTATTATATTTGAGTATAGGAAAACCAATACGATGAGTTATTTACTATACACATGTCAATGGAACCAAAAAATTGTTTAAAATGTAAATTTCAGCCATACAATGTATAATTTTAACCTCTACATTTTCAATATTATTTAACACTGTAGCACTGTACTTTATGTCATTTCGTCAAAATAATAACTGGTATTGTTTTCCACAAATTCACCACTACACTTACTTGATACGCACGCATCTTCGTTTATCACAATGGTCACTTTCGTCCTCTTCAGCGAAGCCGACAGGATCAGAACTGACACTGATGCAGACCTGGCCCATTGCACACTATTTATAACGATGGTGGTTGCACCACTTGTGGCGCATGCGCAGCTGACTCGGTTGAGGTATGTGTTATTGGAAACATTTTTTTTACATTATTTTCGTATTCTATATTGTTTTTCGTTTGTTTCATTATCAATACATAGTTAATGAGTTATATCGTCTTAGCTCCACGATCTAAAAAATATACTTTTATTCCGTTTCCAATAGAACTCCAATTATTTATTTCTATGAGTTTTGTGGCGTAGCAGTAAATTAGGTTTTATAAATAAATAAAATATTACATACATACAAATATTTATATAGCCCGGAGATACGAGTAATATTGTTTGTTGAGTTGTTTGATTTTCAATAAATCTCTATATATTTATTAATAGCACAACTAATACACCATACCTATTGGCTAGTAACCAGAACGTGTAAGTTTTTTATTTCAGTGTATTTATTTATTAATTTATGTGAAAGTCTAATGTAGCTAACATAATCATGAAGAAAATAAAGTGTACAGCTTTTTCAGAAATCAGTTTCATTCATCGGTATTATAATATACAATTTTAATATTTTATGTTGAGTTAAATGTAGTCTAATATGCAGTCACTTACTCAGCAAACATACATACATAATACAACCTTGTCAAGACCCTATGAAAGAAATCTATTATTCGAAACCAATTGAATTAACATGTAGTTTTCAGAGAATTTTTAGTTCGTTGCCAATTATTTTATAGCATGTGAACTAACTAAACAAGACTGTTTTGCTAATATTCACAGTCTTATAGTGATCTTCACTTACTAAAAAGGAGATATTCCAGTCATTAACGGAATTTTATTGGAACAAAGACTTAAAGATTGGACTTAAAAATTGAATGATATATCTTAATAATAGACAACTGTTAAACAACCATTCATATTTTTATAATATTTGTATGTACTCGTAATTGCAAACATTTGTATTCAGTAGAGTATGATTGTTTGTATCGATCTGTGTGTTTTCTATGTATAATATGTGCGTATTTACAAAAAAATATATGAGTATTTATATCAGTGCCCATAACACAAGCTCTGCTTACCGTGGGCTAGATGGCGCTGTGTTAATTGTCCAGGGCTGTATTTTATTTCTGTTTGTATAATGTAGTAGTAGTAGTAGTATTCTGTTTGTTTATTATAGTAGTATTATTGAAACTTACAAATATAAATATTATTTAATATCATGGATTTTCTTTTGTTTCTGATAATTGATATGTAACAAGATAGTACTATAATATTGTTCTCTTACAATTTAATGAAACAATAAATCACAATGGTCATTGCACCAGTGCAGTTAGATATAGCTATTTAATCCATTCAATGCTATTTTTATTAACCTTCAACTATACAAGGTTAATTGTTCATTCAGTTATATGGATATAACATTAAAAAAGTAGTCTATTGCATGACAATAAGACATGATATGTTATTATTATAATTACAATTGGCCGTAAAATAAAAACTATTCACCATCTATTCTTTTAAATTGGAACTTTATAAACTAAAATAAAAATATAGAGAATTATTCCTGGCAGATTATTATTTATATCGGGTTAGCTACATAGAAGATACTACTATCACTGTCTACAAAAATGAATATCGTATTCTCCTTGTCAGAGCATAACTTAGAACTTTAGAACAATGTCATTCACCTTTTCTTTTTTTGTTTCGTAATTCTTTGTCGTTTGTTCTTACGGAATTAAAAACATGATCTAATTTCTGTAATAATCTTACTAATATTATAAATGCGAAAGTTTGTGAGTTTGGATAGACGTTTGTTACTCTTTCACGCAAAAACAACTGCATGATTTTTTATGAAACTTTACAGTAATATAGCTTATACATCAAAATAATATATAGTTATAAATTTCATGCGTATGAAACCGCCCGCGCACAGTTACTACATAATATTATTACAGAAACAAGAGCAACATTTTTAATTTACTGATTTACAGTCTGTAATGAATGTATTTTCTATAATAGTAACAAACGAATGATTGAAATGTTGATAATGATTCTTCTTATTATTTTTTATTATATGTATAACATGTGATGTCATACTGAAACGTAACTAAATTGCTTTTGATGTAAGAACACCATATTCATTTCGTGTAGGCCTATGACTGGAAAATAAGTCACATAATGACGGTCGTTATAATATTGTACAGTTGAAGAAGATGTTGATATAATAAGTGTGTGGTAAATTTATTTAAAACTAAGTAAGACCCGTGGATTCATTTGCTGTATTTATAAATTTAAGTTTATATCCGTTCATTATTCATAAGTTTATATTTTTTAACTTTAAGTTTATATCCATTCCTGTAATAAAATTCTCTATTATAAATCATATATTACCTATCCTAAATAATAGTGGCGACCAGTAAAGTATATTTTAGGTGCAACTCATTCCAGTGATTTTTTTAAGTATTCACTAGATAAACGGCAATCGCAGACTTGTGTGGATGTAGATTTTTTATTCACCTCTGGTTTCTTTTGGTTTTGTTATACACCTATTTTACCTTCTACTACTACTCGTTATGTACCCTTTTCTCGTATGTACCTCCTGGACGTGGGACAGTTTATCCATTCACAAATTCAGTGTTACAGAGATCTTGTGCAGTGTTTGTGAGAGTGGTTATTACTTATTGTAGATGTCGCAGGTGATGATAATGATGAGTATCTGTGTGTATTCTTTTTATATACTGTATGCGTGAACCAACCATCAGATCTTACTACCAATAGCAATGATCCACCAACCTACCCAAATAACTTTAATTACAATAACAGTATTTGTGTTGAGACCTGACTAACTAATATTAATATTGTGTATTAGAGATATCTTAGATTTAAGACTGCACTATTTTCTAACTTAAACGTTGTCTCGTCTTTTTCTTTATTATTACCTTTTCTTTTCATAGACATATATGTAAATGAATATAGTGATATTAGTTAGTTAATCAACTACATACTACAAATACTCCAGTTTCAACGGATAATGGGCACAAACATCGTAATATCAATTTCATTACGTTGTAAATTCAGTTAACACGAGGTTAAAGGGAACATGTGCAAGTAAACTTCTACTTTGTAGTATCCGGATAACCGGATACTAATCTAGTTAACGTTAAACAAAATAATAGGGCTGTCAAAATTTCAGCTAAAATTGTATGAAGGAATTAAGTATGAGAATTTTAAAAAAATATGTGTAACATTCTAACAGTTTTAGCTAGTGGAGATCAGAGAAACGTTAGGTAAGGTATCTCTACGATTGTATACTTATATTCAAATTACAAACATATTAAACTACAACAATCTTACTCAGTAAACAATTAGACAAGATGTCTAGATAAGGTATCTATAAGTGACAAAATGCCTATGACAAAATTTGTGCTAAAAAAAGCTTGAACAAACATAAAGACAGTTCAATATTTACTTCATTTCTTGATAAATATGCTATGTAATACAGAAACAGCGTATTAGGTTCAACCAAACAAACAAACAAGCTGTATGGTACATATATATTAATATACATATCTAATATACGACTACTTACTAATACTACATAGTAATAAGTTTGTTTACTCGTAAACTCGTACGAAACATATTATTTTGGTGTACAGCTGTTTCTAAGCAGAATTTTATGAAACACTATAAAATATCGAGTGGGTAATTTATGGCGTTTGGAACAATTGGCCCCAAATGGATACGAAACACTATTATGTAGTTATATGAACCGTAATGTCGAAGTCTAGGTAATGAATTATTACTGGCCCTGATAATGGTAACAGAATAGTGGCCGTATTCAGGTTTTAGTATTTTATCTTAAATTTGTTAACATCTAATAAATAAAAATATGTTAATAATACATTTACTTTTCCTCTTGAATATTCATAGTGCATAAAAGCGATTATTTTTAAGCGATTTACGTTATAACACTATGTTAAACAAAAATATCAACAAGTTTAATTATTTAGATCAACATTTAACAAATATATGATCTGTAGTACATACCTGTAAAGAAATCGAACTTCTACAGTAACAATAAATTATGAGGATGACAAAAATTACGGAATTAATGTTACAAGTCGTCTATATATCTGTAAGACATGTCTTATTACGTCCTAATTAAAGCTTGTCTAATAAATATTTTTAAGGAAATTAACACAGAAAGAAAATACATAAAAGAAGTAAAGTATTTATTAAAGTTTTAACTTTATTGTAAAAAATATGACAATATATATATTTAGTTGCGTTTTTAAAAAAATAACAAATCGACAGACAGACATATATTTATGATATTAGTATGAATAAGCAATATATTTATGTGCACAACATCCGTATTATTATTATAAACTATAAACTCAGTTTCAAAATTTTATCAACGTTACTTTCACGGATGTTAGATATATAAATATAATAATAATAGATAAATAAGATCTAATAATAGGTATTAAGTAAATACAGAACAACAAACTAAAGACATCAATATTCCGGTTACGGAATCAGGAGTAATCAGGACAAGGCAATCGTTACTGTATCGCCGATCACCAAAACCTCTCATTAAAGAAGCCAATAGTAAGAACAAAGCTCCTGCGATTGCTAATCGCTCCATCGATTACTATCTTTGCAATCGATCGTTCGAATATACTATGAAATAGTCGCTTAAGGCACCACTACTTAACTACGTATAGTAAACATACATAATAATAATAATAATTGGTTTTAATTTATCGAGAAATCATGTTATAGAAATCAGTTCAAAACTTACTGGAACTGAACTTGCTCTATAAAACAAACGCAAATGAAACATATAAGAATGTAGAATATTGTTCTCATGTATGGTAGTCACTAAATAAATAGGCGTATTTATCGTAGTAACAAAATATATTTT